ATATATATTTTTATATTTATATATATATATATATTTTTTTTTTTTTTTTGAGACAGGGTCTTGTTCTGTTGCCCAGGCTGGAGTGCAATGGCAAGATTTTGGCTTATTGCAACTCCCTGCCTCCTGGGTTCAAGGAATTCTCCTGCCTCAACCTCCCAAGTAGCTGAAACTACAGGCATGCACCACCACACTTGGCTAATTTTTGTATTTTTGGTAGAGATGGGGTTTTATCATGTTGGCCAGGCTGGTCTCAAACTCCTGACTTCATGTGATCCTCCCACTTTGGCCTCCCAAAGTGCTGGGATTACAGGCGTGAGCCACCATGCCCAGCCTGTATAATGCCTTTTTAAATGCTAGTTATTGGCCAGGCATGGTGGCTCATACCTGTAATCCCAGCACTTGGGGAGGCCAAGGCAGGAAGATTGCTGGAGGTTAGGAAATCAAGACCAGCCTGGGCAACATAGTGAGACCTATCACTACTAAAAATGATAATAATAAAAAAATTGGCCGGGCTGGTGGCATGTGCCTGTGGTCCCGGCTACTTGGGGAGCTGGGTTAGAAGGATCACTTAAGCCTGGGGATCACTTGAGCCCAGGAGGTTGAGGCTCCAGTGAACTATGATCACACCTCGCCGCACTCCAGCTGGTCAACAGAATGAGACCCTGTCTCAAAAAAATAAAAAATAAAATACTCTTTATTAAGGACTGTAGTATGACTTGATAAATAAATTTGAATGCTTAGTCTTACATTTGAGGAAATACCTATTTCCCATTTTAAAAAGCGTTCTGGTTTTGTTAAAACCACCTCCAATGTCTCTGAGAATTTTAGTGTTTTAAAATAGTAATATTTCTAATTATGTTAATAACTTAACACAGCAGTCCCCAACTTTCTTGGTATCGGAGACTGGTTTTGTGGAAGACAGTTTCAAAGATTGGGGGTGGAGGGGTGGTTTCAAGATGAAACTGTTCCACCTCAGATCATCAGGCATTAGATTCTCATAAGTGTACAACCTAGATCCCCCATATGTGCAGTTCACAATAAGGTTTGTGCTCCTTTGAGAGTCTAATGCCACTGCTGATCTTGCAGGAGACAGAGCTCAGGCATGATGCTTTCTCATCCGCCACTCACTTGCTGTGTGGCCTGGTTTCTGACAGGCCACAGACCGGTACCAGTCAGTGGACTAGGGGTTGCAAACCCCTGCCTTAACATATTATTGTGTATAAATCAAAGCTTAAGCTATGTTTTCAGGATTAAGTGTGAAACCAACAGCATTGTCCATTTATTTATCCAATGAACAGGTATCTGGGTTAGGACCCTGGGAATGCAGAATAAACAATATGGGGTCTCTCTCCTAATAAAACTCAGTCCAAAACAGAAGACAGATTTGCAAAACAGATAATGTGGTTTATTCATGTGACACACTTCAATTATCTACGGTTTTTCAGGCATAGTTCTAAATCCTAGTGACTCCAAAAATCCCTGCCCTCATATAAAACTTAGAGTGGTAGGCATTACAGCCTTGGGGACAGAACAGTGAATGTTGTGAAATGTTAGGTTGTAGAAGTCCAAGGCCAGGTGTGGTGGCTCTTGTCTGTAATCCCAGCACCTTGGGAGGCTGAGGTGGGCGGATCACCTGAGGTCAGGAGTTCAAGACCAGCCTGGCCAACATGGCTAACCGTCTCTACTGAAAAATACAAAAATTAGCTGGGCATGGTGGTACACACCTGTAATCCTAGCTACTCGGGAGGCTGAGGCAAGAGAAGAGCTTGAACCCAGGAGGCAGAGGTTGAGGTGAGCTGAGATTATACCACTACATCCAGCCTGGGCAACAAAGGGAGACTCCTTCTCAAAAAAAAAGATTGTTGAAGTCCAGGTTTTGAGGGAACGCATATTTTAGGATTCTGACTTTCTAGGTTAAGAATGCTAGATAAATAATGCCATTATGATATGAATGGGTTGCTTTTGACCCTATTAGTTTGTTTTTTGTTTTTGTGACAGAGTCTCACTCTGTTGTCCAGACTGGAGAGCAGTGGTGTGATCTTGGCTCACTGCAACCTCCACCTCCCTCGTGTTCAAGCGATTCTCTTGCCTCAGCCTCCTTAGTAGCTGCGACTACAAGCATGTGCTACCATGCCAGGCTAATTTTTTGTATTTTTAGTAGAGACGGATTTCACTGTGTTACCCAGGATGGTCTCGATCTCTTGACTTTGTGATCGTCCCGCCTCGGCCTCCCAAAGTGCTGGGATTACAGGCATGAACCACCTCGCCCAGCCCATATTAAGTTTTAATTGTTTGCACATTCTTTTCTGTTTTATTGAGATATGGCTATACAATAAGCTATACATATTTAAAATGCATAATTTGATATATTTTGACATGTATTTTGTGTGTGTGTGTGTGTGTGTGTGTGTGTGTATTCCCACATGAAACCATCACCACAATCAAAATAATGAGCCTATTCATCACACCCAAAGTTTCCTCATACCTTTTTACAATCTTGCCTCCTGTCTCCCACCTCCCCAGTTTCCAGGCAACTGGTTATCAGCTTTCTATCAATATAGATTAGTTTACACTTTCTAGAATTTTATATAAATGTAATCATATGATAGGTACTGTTTTTTGTTTGGCTTCTTTTACTCTTCCTAACTTTTTTGAGATTTCATTCGTGGTGGTGTCTGTATCCATAGTGTATTTCTTTTTATTGCTGAGAAATATTCTATTGTGTGGGTATATCGTAGTCTATCTGCTCATCTGTTGCTGGTCATTTGTGTTGTTTCTTGTTTGCAATATTCTTAATTTATTGATATCTTCAAGATATTTGGAACATTCAAGACAAAACAAAAAATACTTGCCTACAGTGTCTTAAAAGCTGGTATTTGTCATTTTAGAATAAATTTGATTATCAATTTTCCGTTATGTAGAATACTTGGATAGTGTTGCTCTAGGTAGATTTTTGTCTTGGCCAATAAGTTTTACATTGGTTTTCCCAGTCATTGAAACAAGATAAATAACTTCTAGTGTTCACAAGTTAGCAAACAGCTAGTATAAACTTAAACTAAAAATTTAATTTCTTACTGTAAGATACCTTCATTTGAAAACTAGTGTCATCCCTGCCAAGAGAAGCACTAATTCCAGAGGGAGTTATATTTGCGTAGCTCACCAGCTTCCTCCCCAAAGGACAACTAAATGAATTACTTAGAAAGATTAAAATGAAAAGAGCAAAGAATTGAGAGAGAATTAGAATGTCTTTAGTAGCAGAATCTAGTTTCAGAATCTCCCTAGTGGGATAAGAGATAAATGATAATCTCCAGGAATGCATATGATAACAGTTGTCCGTTATTTTATATAATAAATGTAACTTTCTTTAATTTCTGAAAAGTAATATGTAAGATTTTTTAACCAAACAATCATACACAAAAATCTGACTATATAACAAAGTGTGGGCTGGGTGAGGTGGCTCATGCCTGTAATACTAGCACTTTGGGAGGCCGAGATGGGTGGATCACCTGAGGTCAGGTGTTCAAAAAATTAGCCAGGCGTGGTAACCGGTACCTGTAATCCACCTACTCAGGAGACTGAGGCAGGAGAATCGCTTGAACCCGGGAGGCGGAAATTGCAGTGAGCCAAGATGGCACCACTGCACTCCAGCCTGGGGCGACAAGAGCAAGACTCCGTCTCAAAAAAAAAAAGGGGGGGCGCCGGACGCGGTGGCTCAAGCCTGTAATCCCAGCACTTTGGGAGGCCGAGGCGGGTGGATCACGAGGTCAAGAGATCGAGACCATCCTGGTCAACATGGTGAAACCCCGTCTCTACTAAAAATACAAAAAAATTAGCTGGGCATGGTGGCGCGTGCCTGTAATCCCAGCGACTCAGGAGGCTGGGGCAGGAGAATTGCCTGAACCCAGGAGGCGGAGGTTGCGGTGAGCCGAGATCGTGCCATTGCACTCCAGCCTGGGTAACAAGAGCGAAACTCCATCTCAAAAAAAAAAAAAGGAACAAAGTATGTTTGAATCCTTTTGTGCATTATAGCAAAAGCTTTTTGTATGGGTAATTGTCCCCTAATTTAAAGCCTGAGGGTAGACTTTTAAAAGATGAGATGATATTTCAACTGCATCTTAAAGGAATGAATAAGAGAAGTGCAGAAATTGGGACAAAAGCATTATTCTCAAGAGAGAAATATGGATATTTTAGGGATATTATTTTAGAACATCTTCAGTGGCAGAATCTAAGAATCTTTTTAAATATGAATATTTTAGGAAGCATCTAATGGTATACCTTAAGTACCTCAAATCCTTTTTGGAACAAGAGGATAAGAAATAAAAAAATACTTTTTATATTTTTTGGTAGCTGCTTATTGTCCAAACCCAACATTTTTAAAAAATTATGAATTGTTATTGAGGATGCTTTTGAGAAATTTAGTCAGTTATTTTATATAGAAGGTTCTTATGAAATATATCACTTGGCCAGGCGAGGTGGCTCACGCCTGTAATCCCAGCACTTTGGGAGGCCGAGGTGGGTGGATCACCTGAGGTCAGAAGTTCACGACCAGCCTGGCCAACATGGTGAAACCCTGTCTCTACTGAAAATACAAAAATTGTCTGAGTGTGGTGAAAGGTGCCTATTATCTCAGTTCCTCAGGAGGCTGAAGCAGGAGAATCGCTTAAACCCGGGGATTGGCGGTTTTGGTGAGCCGAGATCATGCCACTGCACCCCAGCATGGGTAACAAAATGAGACTGTGTCTCAAAAAGAAAAAAAAAAAAAGGGAAGAAATACATCGTTTGATTTTACAGGAAATCTATTTAAGTAACTATTGTGTTACTTGTTAATTTTAACAAGCTACAAGATTTTAGCTAAATATTGTGATGGAGTTCACTTAAGTAGAGACTTTGACACATTATAGGCAGGAGAACAAAAGAGTTAAAGTATAATAAGATAAATATAAATAGATTTTTTGTTATTTTATGTATTTTTTTTTTTTTGAGACAGAATCTCACACTGTCACCCAGGCTGAAGTACAGTGGTGCAATCATAGCTCACTGTAGCCTCAAACTCCTGGCCTCAAGTGATTCTCCTACCTTGGCCTCCCAAAGTGCCAAGATTATAGGCATGAGCTACTGTGTCTGGCCTTTTTTTTCACATAAATGAAAGTACTTTCATGTAAATGTCATTTTATTCTCAGAACTCTTAAAGGTAGACCAGGCAACCTAATATTTGAAGATAAGTGTAATTGAATAATGTGTGCAATGATAGTAACAACTTTAAAAGTGTCTTTTTTTAAGCATTTTCTTTTTCTTTTTCTTCTTTTTTTGGAGACAGCGTCTAGCTCTGTTGCCCAGGCTGGAGGGCAATGGCATGATCTGGGCTCACTGTAACCTCTGCCTCCCGGGTTCAAGCAATTCTCCTGCCTCAGCCTCCTGAGTAGCTGCAATTACAGGCGCATGCCACCACGCCCAGCTAATTTTTGTATTTTTAATAGAGACGGGGTTTTACCATATTGGTCACGCTGGTCTTGAACTCCTGACCTCAGGTGATCCACTGCCACAGCCTCCGAAAGTATTGGGATTACAGGCGTGAGCTACTGCGTCTGGCCTTTTTTTTTTTTTTTTTTTTAGGACAAAGTCTCACTCTGTTGCCCAGGCTGGAGTTCAGTGGCACAATCTGGGCTCACTGTAACCTCCGCCTCCCAGGTTCAGGCAATTCTCCTGCCTCAGCCTCCTGAGTAGCTGGGATTACAGGTGCGTGCCACCATGCCCAGTTAATTTTTGTATTTTTAGTAGAGATGAGGTTTCACCATGTTGGTCAGGCTGGTCTCAAACTCCTGACCTTGTGATCCACCTGCCTCGGCCTCCCAATGATCTTCTTAACAAGTAATAAAGTACCTCTTCTTTTATTGATGAGGAAACTACGGCTCAGACAGGTGTAGCAACTTGCTCCATATCAAATTGCTGGCAGGTGGTTGTATCTCAGTCAGCTGTGGCCACAGGAATAATGTGTCACTAACCACTACAAAAATCACAGCCACATCAAGCAAAAGCACTAAGTTACTAGCTCGTGGGTCTCCAGATCCCCTGTGGTAGCGCCACTCTACCGGTATCTTATCTATCTTTATCCTGGGACCACAGGCTAACCCCAGGCTTGACATTCTCATGACCATAACAGAAACACAAGGGACAAGCCCATTGTACATATCCTTTTGAAGCCTTTTGTCTTATCACACCCACCACTGTTCCTGTGGGCAAGCAAATCATATGGCCAAACCGAAAGTCAGGGTGTGGGAAATATAATCCCCTTTAGTGAACAGAGAAACATAACAGCGTAGACACAGGGAAGTGTGAAGAACCTGAGCCCTTAATGCAGCCTACCACAGTGGTGGAGCTTAGGTTTAAACCCATGTGTCTCAGCAGGGAGAGCCTATAGATTGTCTACTTGCTTTCTACCCATCTTTTAGTACCTAAAATCTGATTTTTAATATAGTTTTTGGTTGTTTACTCATTGTTTTGTAATTCAAGCTCTTCATTTATTCTGTATGACTAGCTATTTAGAAGAAACTAGTACATTTATTCATTGATGTCTCTCTATCCTTGATTCTTTCAGGCACGATTCTGGGTACAGGTGATGAGGGATTTGAGGAATGGGGTAAAACTTAAGAAGGTCCAAGAGCGGCAGTACAATCCGTTGCCCATTGAATATCAGCTCACCCCTTATGAGATGCTAATGGATGACATTCGCTGCAAAAGATATACTTTGCGAAAAGTGATGGTAAGTAACAAAACTGCTATGCCAGGCGTGGTGGCTCACTCCTGTAATCCCAGCACTTTGGGAGGTCGAGGCGAGTGGATCTCCTGAGGTCAGGAGTTCCAGACCAGCCTGACCAACATGGTGAAACCCCATCTCTACCAAAAAATATAAAAGTTAGTTGGGTGTGGTGGTGCACGCCTGTAGTTTCATCTACTTGAGAGGCTGAGGCAAGAGAATCTCTTGAACCCAGGAGGTGGAGGTTGCAGTGACCCAAGATCAAGCCACTGCACTCCAGCCTGGGCAACAGAGTGAGACCCTGCCTCAAAAAAGAAAAACAAAAAAATATTAATGGACTCAACTGGTTATTCATTTATAATTGCATTAATTAAAAATAGTTTTAATATTAAAATTTTTAAATTATTTCTTTTTATGCAAGTAACACTTGATCATTGTAGAAAATTTGGAAAGTACATTAAGCTTAAAGAAGGAAAGTTATGAACATATAATTCCATAACCCAGAGAGAAATTTTGTTAACATGATGATTGATAACTGTTAGCCTTATTTCTCTGCACTTTATTTGGACAAAATGAGTTAATATAGAATGCTTTGTTTTATTACCAGTTGTTTTGCTTAACATATTGTGATTATTTTTTCCATGTCATTATTTATTCAACATTATCATTTCTAAATGGCTACGTCTTTTCCAGCTTATGGCTATTCCAGAGTTTATTAAACTAATCATCTTGTGTCCCATTATAAGCAGCATATTTTGTGTATCTTTGTATGTAAATCTTTTCAAATAGCCACCATGAAATCCTTACATTCCTAGAAGTGGAATATCTAGTTCATTAGCAAATTCGTACAGCTCTGTCTTTAAACTATATCCTGATTCTGACCACTTCTCTCCATTTCCACTTGAGGTATTTTTTTTTTTTTTTTTTTTTTTTTTTTGAGACAGGGTCTTGCTCTGTCACCCAGGCTAAAGTGGAGTGGCAAGATTACAGCTTCACTGCAGCTTCAACTTCCCATGTTCCAGGGATCCTCCCACCTCAGCCTCCCTCGTAGTTGGGACCATAGGCGTGCACCACCACGCCGGGCTAGTGTTTTTTGTATTTTTTTGTAGAAACGGAGTTTCACCATGTTGCCCAGGCTTCTCTCAAATCCCTGACTGAGCTCAAGTGACCCACCTGCATCTGCCTCTGCCTCCCAAAGTGCTGGGATTATAGCCGTGAGCACTTGGCCAAAATATCTTCTATTCCAAGCCACCATTATCTCTCATCAGACTATGACAGTAACCTCTAAATGGCCTTCCTGCTTTTACCCTTGCCCCCTTTCAACTTGTTTTTCCCAAAAACAGCCAAGTAGGCTTCTTTTTTTTTTTTTTTTTTTTTTTTTTTTTTTGTAGTCATCCACGTTTCTGTTTATATATAGTATATAGAACAACAAATTCAGGAACTAAGGGAAAGTAACATATAAAACCTTAATAGGAAATAGAGATTATAAAACACTACCATTTGATTTTTTTATAGTGAAGCAAATACTTCAATATTCTAATATTTTTACTCACTTGCTAAATAAAGCACACAACTCAAAATGCTAAGTAATTGTCTAAATCTTTTAAAGAATAAAACGTTAGTGAAAAACCAAAATTGCTTAGTAAGGTATGTATAACTTTATTACCTATCCTAGACATCAAGATGATCATAGTTAATACCAACTTAAGCTTTACAGAATACTGTTTTAGGCCAAATATTGATATATTAAATGAACGTATCAGAGAATCTTATATTTATGGCATCAGGTTATGTTATAAAGATCTATTCAAAATCATTTTTTGTCAAAGTTTAAACACTGGAACAAAAGTCAAGTTGTTTCTAAATGAGATACAAAAGGATTCTTGCTAATAGTACAAATTTTGTCCCCTGGGTAATACTTTTTGTTTTTTTGAGACAGAGTCTCTCTTTGTTGCCAGGCTGGAGTGCAGCGGTGCGATCTCTGCTCATTGGAACTTCCGCCTCCTGGGTTCAAGTGATTCTCCTGCTTCAGCCTCCCAAGTAACTGGGACTACAGGTGCATGCCACCATGCCCAGTTTTTTTTTTTTTATTCTTTAAAGTATAGACGGGGTTTCACCATGTTGGCCAGGATGGTCTCAATCTCCTGACCTTGAGATCCACCCGCATCGGTCTCCCAAAGTGCTGGGACTACAGGCATGACTCACTGTACCTGGCCGTCTTTTGCTTTTTAAAAAAAAATTATTTCAATTTTTATTTTAGATCCAGGGAACACATGGGCAGGTTTGTTAGCTGGGTATACTAGGTTTGTGATGCTGAGGTTTGGGGTACGGGTGATCCCCTCACTCAGGTAGTCAGCAGAGTACCCAGTAGGTAGTTTTCAGCTCTTGCTCCCCACCCTACCTCCCCAGTGTCTACTGTTCCCATGTGTTCTTGGGTATTACTGTTTTCAAGTTTTTTTCTTTACATGAAGCCACTGAAAGCAAACATATGTCATACTTATAGGTTACTTTGTACATTTATCATTCTATTAATGAATGTCTTAAGTAATTAAGCAGTATATTAAGGCCATAAACCAAGTCACTATCTCATATCAAAGGACTATTGTTATTCAATTATCTAAAAAATTCATTTTAATGGGTTACGTTACAGGGTTGAGGTCAGCCTACAGACACAAAATAGGTTAATTAAAATATTTTTTTCAGATCAGCTTTTAATTTTTTCACTGGAGTAGGATTTGGAGGTGGGGATACTAAATGTGGCAGGGTTCAACAAATTTACAGTTTATCAAAAGGTTCTTAAAGAACACAATGATAGCATATACTTTAATTCTTAGAGCACAAACCCTTATATCGATGGTCACAGAAAAATACTGTAATGCTTTAAACAAAAGTTTTAAAATACATCAATGATGCAAGTTTCAAACAAAATGTAGTGATCTACATGTACTTAACTGTCCTTTCATCAAGCTTTTAGAAACGCAATCAGTCTTCACTGTCTGAGCAAATGAGTTTTAGTTTCTTCATGGTCCTCCATCTGTCTTTTAACATGACACTTGTCCGGTTGTTGAATTTATAATGCAACAGTATTTTAGACCAGTTTCCCTCTCCAAATTTCCTCACGCCAGATCTCAAATTCTTGTCTTCTTCGCAAAGCCATGCCTGTCTTTTTCTAGCTCGATGTTTTTCAGGAGTCACCGGTTGACTTTCTGAAACAGGTATTCTACTTTCAGTGGCTCTTCTACTTTCTTTTTTCTTTTTTGCACTTTGAAGAGTTCCTACTCTTCTTTCTTTACTAAGGTCTTGTTGCTGGGTTCCATGCTTCAACTTAGATAAGAAAAGATTCTTGTGAGACCTCAATAAGGATACTGTACCCTCTGAGGATTCAGTTACTGCAGACTGTTTGTCACTAACACTTTTTCTTGTATCCAAATTAGCTTCAGTTTCCATTTCAACATCATTACCATTAGGTTTATCTTGAGAAGTTATTGTTCTTGCTCTTTTACTTTCTACTACTTTTGCTGCTGCCTTCATTAGAAAGGTTGATGATTTTTCACTTAGCACATAATTCACATAACTCTTAATTTTCTCCATCATGTGGTTGTAACTGAAGTGTTGAAAAACAGAATGGTATGTATCTTTCTGAGAGATTATCATAAGCAATTTCCTTTTTAAAGGCGCGTAAGAATTTGGATCACCAAATATTCTTTCAAAGACTTCTTCTGCTTCCTTAAAGTTCCCGTTTTCCATACAAACAGCTATAGCCTGAACTTCCATTAAATTCTGTATTTCTTCGTGAAGTTTGTCATGTTCCTTTTCAATCGAACCCCAAATCATCAGGGCTGATTCCAAGGGTGTAATTCGTTCATCATTTTCAAACTGTGCATCCTCGGCGCTGTCGCGGGTCTGGCGAAAGTCCTCGGAGCGGCCGTCGCGGAAAGCTCGGCAAAGAGAGAGGCAGAGGAAATCGAGCATCCAGCCGGCAACCACAGCCTCGGCCTCAGCCACAAGGCCAGCATCCTCCTCCTCCTCTGGAGCCCCCAACTGCACCTGGCACTCGAGCAGTTCCTGGCACTCGAACTGCTCCTCGTCGTTTCTCTCCGTTTCTGCTATCCGCTCCTCGGTAGCGTCGGCATCCCTACCATCCGCACAGCCCCGGGGACTCCGAGCAGCTGAGGAGGCGTCCTCCGCCATGTCAAACCCCAAGTAGGCTTCTTAAGTAAAAGATACGATCGTGTTATTGCTCTATTCAGAATCTTCCTCTGGCTCTTCATCACACTCAGAAGAAACTCTATGTCCTTACCGTGGCTGGCACAGCCTACACAGCTGGATCCAGGTTACCTCTCAGACCTCATCTCCTACTATGCCTCCCTGCTGGGTTCTCCTCGTTAATCACCCTGATCTATGCCAGTGTCTCAGCAGTGCCTGGTGTGCTCCTGCAATAGACCCTTTGCCTTGGATATTCCTTCTCTCAGGAACTGTCGTTTCCCACATAGCCATATAATTTGTCTCTTTACTTTTCAGGCCTGTGCTCAAGTTTCCCCTCATTAGAAGAGTCTTCTCTCTCTGCTCTCATGTTTCACTAGCTGAAATTGCCATGTATTTCCAGATTTATTGTCCGTCTCCCTTACAAAGACAAGAACTTAGTTATTCTCACTGTTTATCTATCCCCTTTAACAAGAACATGTGCCTGACATGCAACCAAATACTGAATACAGTGCTCAATAAATAGTTACGGGATGGATTAATGAATTCCATCCACATTTTTGAGGGAGTTTGATCAAAGTTATTTTATATTGGAAAGTTCTTATGAAACATGTAACACCTGTTTGTTTTTTGTTTTTGAGACAGTCTTACTGTTTTTACCCAGGCTGGAGTGCAGTGATGCAATCTCAGCTCACTACAACCTCCGCCTCCCAGATTCAAGTGATTCTCATGCCTCAGCCTCGCAAGTAGCTGGATTACAGGCACGTACCACCACATTTGGCTAATTTTTGTATTTTTAGTAGAGACGGGGCTTCGCCATGTTGCCCAGCTGGTCTTGAACTCCTGATCTCAGGTGATCTGCCCACCTCAGCCTCCCAAAGTGCTGGGATCATGGGTGTGAACCACTGTGCCCAACCATATCACTTGGTTTTGTAGTAAATTGGTTTAAGTGGCTATTTGAGCTGCTTGTTAATTTTAATAAGCTATAGCATCTCAACTGTTATATAATATTAGTTATTATATATAACATTATACTATATACAACATTATTATAGCATAAATTTATATTTATTTATAATAAATATAATTATTTTGTATATATATAACAAATATATAGAATATAATTAAATATATAATATTTATATGTTATATATAACATTATACTATTAATGTTAACTAATTTCACTTTTCATCAAATCTGATTTACTTTACAGATGAGGAAACTGAAATTTAGAGATGCTCAGTAGTAACATCCCAAGTTCAGACAGCTGGTTACAAGGCAGAGCTGAGGGTCAGCCTTATTCTGTCTGGCCCCAGCAAAGCCTATGCTGTGTGCTACGTACATATTGCCCAGTCACCCTCAGAAATACTGTGATGATGATTATTTATAACAGAATAGTTTTGCCCATTGCTTCACACCTTTGCACAAACTGGGTATCCTTTGGGGCTGACCAATTTGACTGAAAGAAAATATTGTTTCATTTTTAAAATCTACATTTCTTTCATGCATTTAAACATTTAAAAACCTTTGCTAACTGTTTGTATTTCTTAATTTCATTTTAATTGAATAAATATGTGTTAAGCACTTTTCATGTAGTAGACCTTACTCTGACTCTGGAAGAACATATTACAATCTCTGTTCTCTCGAAGCTTCCAGTATTTTGGGAGCCACTGATAACCAGCAGGGGAGGAGCTGAGTAGGGGGTGAAAAAACACACAAACACACACAAAACATTGTATTCAAAGACCAAGAAACAATGGGATCTGACACATGAGAACAACAAAAACAACTTGCCATCATTAGAGGATAGAACAGAATGCAGGAGACTGGAGAGGTGAGATGAAAAGACAGCTCAGGACAGAAGCTGTGCAGCCTCAGTACTGAAGGATGAGTAGGAGAATCTGCCAAAACAAAGACGAGCAAGGCATAGCCAGAGAAGGCTGGGAAGTCAGGGGAAGTGGAGGTGCAGCTGCAAAGAGCAGGCAGTGTTTCAGAGAGGTCAAATGAGCACTGTGAAATGGTTAACAGATTTAGCAACATGGAAATTATTTGATTCTTTTATTAAAGTAAAAGAGAGAAACCTCAGATTTTAGGGTGGTAGGTAAGGCAATGGTGATAGTGAGTATACAGTATGAGTTTCTTTAAAGAAGCATTTAAAAGAAGACGAAAGATTGTATCTGGAGGAACACACAGGGTATTTCCTTGGATGTGTGTGCTGTGGCTTGTGTACCCAACCCCCTATTAATAATTTCCAGTTTTCATTGTTTTAATCTGTATTATGATGAACATTCAAATGCAAATATCCAATTATCACCATGGTTTAAATTTTTATTGGTAAGATGAATAGACCAAATAAAATGCACATTTTCTTTTTTAATAATGTACCTTTTAAATTTTAGTACTTAATATTTTGCAAAATTTCTCTCTAGAAGGGTTGTGCCAGTTTACATGTTCGTTAGTTTCGCAGGACCATTCCTATTGCCGATACTGGGTTATCTTTTTCAAATATATACCTATTAGAACTTTGTCCTCTCTAATTGGGTGAGCACTTAATGTTAATGTCAGGTGATTTTCCTTCTTATCCAGAAGGAATTATTAAAAAATTCATATTAGTGTTAAAATAAGTCCTACTAGATCATTAACATTGCTGTTTGTTTTATCATTAATGTATTTTACCTGTCATCTTTGACATTGCTAAATCTTTTTTTTTGTTGTTTGTTTTTCTTAGTTTTTAGCGGATAGTTTTACACTGCAGGAATCTTTATCTTTTTATCAGAGAAAATAATTGTGCTAAATAGTAGTCATACTAAGAATTAAGATAGATTCCTTTCGAAGTTGCTGATTTAACAATTCTAGGAATCTGTATGTTATAAGCACCCTAAGTGAGGCTTAGGGAAGTAATGGTGAGTGATAGACAGAATGACAAAGAACTGTGCATCCCAAATGGAAAATGTTTACAAACAGAGAAAATTATATTTTTCCTGTGGTAAATAAAAGACATTTATTGATTGATTGAAACAGAGTCTTGCTCTGTTGCCTGGGCTGGAGCACAGTGACACAGTCACGGCTCACCACAGCCTTGACCACCCCAGCTCAAGCAGTTCACCCACCTCGGCTTCCTGAGTAGCTGAGACTACAAGTGCACACCACCACACATGGTAATTTCTTTTAATATTTTTGTAGAGATAGATAATTTTATGTTGCCCAGGCTGGTCTTGAACTCCTAGGCTTAAGCAGTCCTCTTGCCTCAGCCTTCCAAAGTGCTAGGATTATAGGCATGAGCCACCACACCTAGCCTAAAAGGCTTTTAAAATAACTCTGATTTTTTTCTTGCAGTTTTCTTTTTTATTATATATATTTTTAATGAAGATAAAATTCACATAACATAAAATTACCCATTTTAAATGTACAGTTCAGTACCATTTAGTATATTGCCAAGGTTATACAATATACTAAATCATGTTGAGGTACTTTACCGCTTCTTTTGTTTTGAGGTGGAGTTTCACTCTTGTTGCCTAGACTGGAGTGCAGTGGTGTGATCTCGGCTTACCACAACCTCTGCCTCCTAGGTTCAAGCAATTCTCCTGCCTCAGCCTCCCAAGCAGCTGGGATTACAGGCATGTGCCACCATGCCTGGCTAATTTTGTATTTTTAGTAGAGATGGGGTTTCTCCATGTTGGTCAGGCTGGTCTTGAACTCCTGACCTCAGGTGATCCACCCTCTTTGGCCTTCCAAAGTGCTAGGATTACAGGTGTGAGCCACCGCGCCTGGTGAGGTGCTTTAGTCCTTCTTATGGCTGTACAGATATATCATAATTTGTTTATTCATGACCCAAATGGACATTTGGGTTTTTTCCGATTGAGTTCTTTCCTTTTCACTAACATGAGTAGTGCTGCAGTGAATAGTCTTGTACAAGGTTTTGTTTGAATACCTGTTTTCAGTTATTTGGAGTATATACCTGGGAGTGGAGTGGCTGGATAATATAGTAATTCTATGTTTGGCTTATTGAGAAACTGCCAAACTGTGTTCCACAGCAGTTAAACCAATTAATATTCCCACCAGCAGTGTATGAGGGCCCCAGTTTCTCCTATCCTTGCCAACACTTGCTGTTGTCCATTTTGGTTTTAATTATAGCTACCCTAGCAGTGTAACATGATATCTCATGGTGGTTTTGATTTGCGTTTCCCTGATGACTCACGTCATACATGTTTGATGTGCTTGTGGACCATTTGTATATATTTGAAGAAATGTCTGTTCAGATTTTGTATTTAAAAAATTTTTAATTTAGATTTGGGGGTGCACGTGCCTGTTTGTTACATTGCATGCTGGTGGAGATTGGGTTTCTAGTATACTCATCACCTAAATAGTGAACATTGTACCTGACAGGTAATTTTTCAACCCTGACCCCCTACTCTCAACCTCCCCACTTTTGGAGTGCTCACTGTTTCTGTCTTTGAGTCCATGTGTACTCATTATTAGCTTTCACTTACAAGTAAGAACATGTGGTATTTGGTTTTCTGTTTCTGAGTTAGTTCACTTAGGATAATGGCCTTCAGCTCCATCCATGCTGCTGCAAAGGACATGATTTCATTCTTTTTTTTATGGCTGTGTTGTACTCATTTTTTAATTGGGTTGTTTGTATTTTTGCTGTTAAGTTGTAACAATTCTTTGTATATTCTGGATAGTGGACTACTGGCAGATACATAATTTGCAAGTATTTTCTCCCATTCTGCAAACTGTCTTTTCACTTCCTTGTTAGTTTCCTTTGATGCACAAAAGGTTTTAATTTTGCTGAAATACAGTTTATGTATTTTTGCCTTCTGTCGCTTGTGATTTTGGTGTCATATCTAAGAATTCATTACCAAATCCAGTTCATGAAGATCTTCCCTTATGTTCTCATCTGAGACATTTATAAATAGTTTTAACTCTTATATTTAGGTCTTTAATCTCTTTTTTTTAGTTAATTTATATATATAATGGTGTGAGGCAAGGGTCAAACATTATTCTCTGTCAGAATCCCAATGTCATTTTTTTTTTTGGCAGAAATAGAAAAATCGATTCAAAAATTCTTATGGAATCTCAAGAAATCCCAAATAATCAAAACAATCTTGAAAAAGAAAAAGTTGGTGGACTCACACATCCCCATTTTACAACTTACAACAAAGCTATAGTAGCTAAAACAGTGTAGGATAGAAAAACAGAATCCAGAGTACAAAAACAAACCCATACACCTATGTTTAATCAATTTATGACAAGGGTGCCAAGACCATTAAATAGAGAAATAATAGGTCTCCTCATCAAATGATATTAGAACAGCTTGTTAACAACATGCAAAGAAGGACGTTTGGCCCTTATCTCACACCTTTTGAAATTTCATTAGGGGCTCAGTATCAATCACTAAACTATAAGTTAGTTTTGTAGGTTATTAGTTGTGGTCTTAAGTCATCATTAATGGTTCTGCTTTATTTAAGATGAAAATAAAAGGCCAAGCACAGTGACTCATGCCTGCAATCCAACACTTTGGGAGAGGCCAAGGCAGGAAGATTGCTTGAGCCCAGGAGTTTGAGAGCATCCTGGACAACTTAGTGAGACCCCATCTCCATAAAAATAAAAGGGCAGAGTGCAGTCACTCACACCTATAATCCCAACACTTTGGGAGGCCAAGTGCTGGGATCGTTTGAGCCTAAATGTTCAAGACCTGCCTGGGCAACATAGACCCCCATCTCTACAAAAAATTAAAAACTAGCTGGGGTAGTCCCAGCTACTCAGGAGGCTGAGGTGGAGGGATCACTTGAGCCGGGAAGGTCTAGACTGCAGTGAGCTGTGGTCATGCCACTGCTCTCTAACCTGGGCAATAGAACAAGAGCGTGTCTAAAAAAAGAAAATTATTTCAAAAACAAGACTGAGTACAGGGTAAATGTTTTAAATTTTTCAAAGGGGATCATTTTATGTATTAGAAACATTTTGTTGGGGTGGGCATGGTGGCTCATGCCCAAAATCCCAGCACTTTGGAAGGCCGAGGTGGGTGGATCACCTGAGGTCAGGAGTTCAAGATCAGCCTGGCCAACATGGTGAAATCACCCCATCTCTGCTAAAAATACAAAAAAGTTTTTTGTTTGTTTATCGCATTGTTGCTCAAAAATAATACCAAGTTTCTATAACTGATCTTATTTACTTAAGCATCTACTATTTGTGTTCATCCAGGAATCATTTCTCATTTCACTTCAGAGAGCTTGTTTACTTACAGGAAAATAATTTCACTGACCCAGCAGCAGAATGGTTTTCACACAGCCACTTCTTATTACGGGTTTAGTATCACAAACCTGAACATCTGAAGTGCTCCAACAAACTTTTTGAGTGCCATTGTAATACTCAAAAGACATTCTCCTTGGAGCATTTCAGATTTTTGGATAAGTATAATGTAAATATTTAAAAATCTGAGACATTCTGGTCCCAAGCATTCCACTCGTACTGACTTTGGTCCATACTTGCCTTCTTGCCTCCCTCAGGAGCATTGTCCCACATCGGTAGTTGGGACCGAGGATACAGCTTCTGACTACTGAGGAGACTACAGTTAATGTGCTTGTTTTGGGGATGAAACATAGAGCCTTGGCTTCCCTTAATCCATTCTCATTCCTGCTCTTAGGATACAAAGAAAGCATGTGAAAATTAGCCAGAAAGATACATATTATTCTATTCAGGAGTAGACTAATGAGTAATAGAAAAGTCTGATTAAATTGTTTTATACAATAAGGTTTTTTAAAATCTACATAATATGAAATCCAGAAGTAGTGGGTGGTACCACGGTAGGCCACTGGCTCTGCTTCTTGGTCCCCTCCATAAAACCAGCAGTCATATGTCTGTCTTGGCTCAAGCAGCGGCAGTTATTTCTGAGTTTGCTCTGGGCCATCCTGCCCTCTTTCAGGGCGGGGGGAGAGGGAGGATAGTGGATGTTGAGTGTGCCCCAGCAGGTTTGCCACACACTCTGAACTCAATATGGTGGCCATATCTGGGGAAGGGGCTGGGCCTGGGAGTGGCCATTGAGGTTCTATTTTGTTCAAACAAGACTGGGAAGCAAATAAGACAAACTGGTCATGACTGTAGCTTCTAAGTAGTCAGGTGGGAATTTAAGTTGTTACTTCTTGTGGTTTTCTGGATTTTAAAAAAATATTTAAGAAAAAAATTTTTTAACACATTACTTTAAAAAGAGAGGACATTAGAGTAGAATCAGAGACAGACTGGTCCTCCACAATAGCTCTTCTACTTAAAAGTTCTGTGGATGTAGGCAGATACCTCTGCTCTGCATTTGAGTTTTATTTACAAAATGTGAATTGTGGCTCCGTTTTTATTTTTTCTATTACCTAGGTGTTTTGTTTTGTTTTGAGATGGAGTCTCACACTCTGTTGCCCACCCTGGAGTGCAGTGGTGCCATCTCGGCTCACTGCAACCTCCGCCTCCCAGGTTCAAGCAATTCTCCTGCCTCAATTTCCCAAGTAGCTGGGATTATAGGCACCTGCCACCACACCTGGCTAATTTTTGTATTTTTAGTAGAGACAGGGTTTCACCATGCTGGCCAGGCTGGTCTCAAACTCCCAACCTCAGGTGACCTGCCCACCTGGGCCTCCCAAAGTGCTGGGATTACAGGTGTGAGCCACTGCGCCCAGCTTACCTAGGTTTTTTAAAAGGAGGAAAATAAGAGGTGAAAAGTTTTTTAAGTTATAAAATATTTAATAAGCTTAAGTATTATTTATTCCATTTACATTCATAATTTTAGAAACTTTTTGTTAAAATTTCCCAGAGTAATAGACTTAAACTTGGATTTTCTTCAGTTTCACGGTTTTTTTCTCTGAATCACTCAGCCATTTACTCCTCACTTTATTGATTTGAAATATGTCTTTGGTAATTACACTTCACTAATTTTGTGGCATATTTGAGATGACAGCTATACCCAGGAAATTCATGATAATCTTACATAGTCACGTGAATCTTCTACTTTTTGTCTCCTTTTAGGTGAATGGTGATATTCCCCCTCGGTTAAAAAAGAGTGCTCATGAAATCATCCTCGACTTCATCAGATCCAGACCTCCTTTAAATCCAGTATGTAATTTGACATAGTCCTCTAGATTGGAGATACCATAATGAATTATTGTATTCTAGGGTGTCATCTCTAGAGCTCAGTTTTCCTCTGACCTTTTTACTCTATAAAGATGAAGCCCAGCTATAAATTATATTCTTTTTATTTTTGAGACAGAGTCTCACTGTGTCACCCAGGCTGGAGTAACCCCTGGGACTCAAGTGATCTTCCCACCTCAGCCTCCCAAGTAGCTGGAACCACAGATGTGTACCACTATGCCCAGGCTAACTTTTAAATTTTTGTAGAGACAGGGTTTCGCCATGTTGCCCACGCTGTTCTCAAACTCCTGGCCTCAAGCAATCCTCCCACCTCGGCCTCCTGAAGTGTTGGGATTACAGACATGAGCCACCACAGCTGGACTTGTAAATTACATTCTTAAGTCACTGAAAAATCTTAAAATTACTTAATACAAGGCTGTCTTAGGATGTTTTTACTCAAAATAACCTGGGTCGTGGTGCAAAATCTGGCCACATAACTCCTAGATATCAGCTAAACATAATACCAGATAGTCCCAGAGTGGATTGCCCTTCCAGTTTACTAAGGATGCAGCTACCCCTCCATGATTAAATTGTCATATTGACATGTTTTATAATAAATCCACCCTGCTGAACATCCACTTCTATGTTAATTATCATGTTCCTCTGTTAACAGAGTTCTTTGCAGCAACCATAGACTCAGAATATTCTAATCTGTTTGAACATTAGTTTGTGTTTCTTCTGTTCTTTGTTTCTTCTTTTTTACCTGGCTTAATCGCCAGTGCTCACAAAAGTCTCTCAAATCAATGTACATAAAGTAACTAGAAAGCATTTCTCAGTTTATATATAACTAAAGCATAATTAATGATCACATTTATAAATCTTTTCTAAAGAAGGCAAGAGGGCCACCTAGGAAATGATTTTACGACAGGAGGTCATGGTAGAATAGAAGGAACATGGACCATGTGAACCTGGCCTTGCATACCGGCTCCATAATTTAGCAGCCATATGTCTATAAGGGAGTTAATCAGCCTCCCAGAGCCTTTATTTCCTCAATTATAGAATGGAGATAATAATAATCTAAGAAGATTATGGTGAGTTACTAAAAAATGTTACTTTAAAAGTTACTAAAATGGTAAAGTGGGGTGTTCACACCTGTAATCCCAGCACTTTGGGAGGCCAAGATGGGAGGATTGCTTGAACCCAGGAATTCAGAACCAGCCTGGGCAACATAGAGACCCTGTCTCTACAAAGAAATGAAAGGAAAAAAGAAAATTAGCAGGGTGCAGTGGCACACACCTGTTGTCCTGGCTACTCAGGAGGCTGAGGTGGAAGGATCACTTGAGCCTAGCAGGTCAAGACCACAGTAAGCCATGATCGTGCCACTGCACTCCAGCCTGAATGACAGAGTAAAACCCTGTCCCAAAAACAAAACACACACACACACACACACACACACACACACACACAAAACAGCAATAGTGATAGTAATATTGCAGTAGTAATATTGCAATTGATTGCCTATCACACTAGGATATAGGGAACATAATTATAACTGCTTAAAATTAGTTGAGCAAGCCAGGCACAGTGGCATGCGCCTGGAATCCCAAACACTTGGGAGGCTCTGGCAGAAGGACCTCTTGAGCTTAGAAGTTCAGAGGTGTAGGCCAGGCACAGTGGCTCATCCTGTTATCCCAGCACTTTGAGAAGCCGAGGAGGGTGGATCACTTGAGGTCTGGAATTTGAGACCAGCTTGACCAATATGGCAAAACCCTGTCTCTACTAAAAATACAAAAATTATCCAGATGTGGTGGCATGTGCCTGCAATCCCAGCTATTCAGGAGGCTGAGGCATAAGAATCGTTTGAACCCAGGAGGCAGCAGTTGCATTGAGCTGAAATTGCACTACTGCACTCCAGCCTGGGCAACAGAGCGAGACACCTTCTATAAGCAATAAAAGAAAATTTGAGCATGTATAACCAAATCACTCTGACATCTAATAATCTCCCTATTGCTTTAGGAATCTTAATATTTAATGACTTGAAAATACTCTTTTATTAAGCAGTGTTTCAATCAATGAAATGTAATTTATACTATACTATATGACTGGACTTCAGTAAAAATTACTTAATTACTCAAGTCTCTAGCCATTTTGCTTATTTTCAAGGCCTCAGCCAGAAAACTGAAACCAACCCCACCACGGCCACGGAGCCTCCATGAAAGAATATTAGAAGAAATTAAAGCAGAAAGAAAGCTGCGGCCTGTCTCACCAGAGGAGATTAGACGTAGCAGATTAGGTGAGTTCACTGCATCCTGTACTCAGTCTAGAGTCATCCCCTGGGAAGGGATCTTTATACGCCCAGCCCCATGAAAGTAAAGATGGTCCATGGAATTCTCATTCCTTGTTCATTTCTCTGTATCTCACTTGTTCTCACTCACTTTCTCACATGCATACCCTCTTACACTTCTTGAAATTTATAGGATGGGAAATCCTTCCCTCATCTAATATTGAACTATATGAGAACATCATGCCGTAATTGAAAGAGCTCTGCCAGTCTCTAGGCTGATGTTTTAGGAAAGCCTTTACCTCTCTGAGCATCATTTTCTTCATTGGCAGAAGGGGGATTAAAATTCCTCTTAACCTACATTATGACTTTTATGTAAGAATTGTATTATGATAAAAATACTTTATAAATTGTACATACAAAGATAATGTATTATATTTTAGAAATATAAATAATATATAGTTTTACCTTATGTTTCTTTATTATGGGTTTTAAAATACGGTATTATGTCATGAAAGCATGTTATTACCTGATATCACTTATTTTTAAACTTCCTTTATAGTCATTCTTTTTTTGTGTGTGTGTATACTATAAGCACATACTGATTTTGATATATAGAAAGGCCATATTATGTTTGTCAACATTTTTGTTTATATGACTGTCTTTCAGTTTGTAATACTAAAAATGTCCAAAGAATCCAGAGAAAATTAGGAAAACAGTCTATAGTGATGCCTTAACAGGAAAAGATCTGGTTCTGTGACCCACACTCTGCTGGTTTTCTCCTCTGATCTCTTTTTCTGTATCTTTCAGACTTTTGGACTTTCAGGTTTCTATACTAGGTTCTATTCTCCCTGAGCAACCATACCTTCTTTAGTGGTTTTTGTTTCTGGCTACCTTCCAGCTCATAGCCTACAGGACAGATCTCTAAAAATTCAGACCCATACATCCAGATGTCTGCTAGATAGAGCCTTCTCATATCCTTCAAGCAAGATAAACCCAACATGCCCACAAGTGAACTTACCCTGTCTCTCCCCAAACCATCTCATTTTGTTTTCCCGATGTAGAAACCTTAACATAATCTTTGACTCTTACCTAATGGCCAACCCCTGTTGATTTTACTTCTTCTGGATCTTTTTAATCTTCCACTCTTCTCAGCCTAGCAGCCACTATCCTAGCCGAGGCCGTCATCTGTCACAGCAGCCCTGACTCTCTTCTGCTTCCAGTCTTGAACTCTTCTACCACTCTATATTGATTTTCCTTTTTTAATCCTAGTCCTTCTGTTGTGTTACTTTCGTGATGACAGGGCCCATGTCTGTCTTGTTCCTTGTTGTGTTCCTAGTACAGCTCTGGGTTGTACAGAGTACTCTCATGTGTTGGGAAAATTAAATGTACTTTCTGGTGACAAAGCTTCAGAGTAGATCACTTGAGCCCAGAAGATTGAGGCTATAGTGAGCTGTAATTGCACCACTGCACTCTAGCCTGGGTGACAGAGCAAGATTCCATGGAAAGAAAGAAAGAGAGAGAGAGAGAAGATCAGTTGACTGTATATGTGCGGGTTCATTTCTGGACTCTTTGTTCTGTTCCACTGTTGTTTGCCTGTACCATGATGTTTTGATTGTTGTAACTTTATATAAGATCGGAAAGTGTTTAAGATCAGAAAATGTGATGTCTCCAGCTTTGTTACTCTTTCTCAAGATTAATTGGCTATTCCTTGTCTTTTGTGGTTCCATAGGAATTTTAGGATTATCTTTTCTATTTCTGTAAAAAATACCATTAGGATTTTCATGGGGATTCTGTTGAATCTGTATATAGCTTTGGGTAGTATTCACGTGTTAGCAGTAAGTCTTTAAATTCATGAACATTATTCTTCCATTTATTTCTGTCTTATAGTTTTTATATTTAAATCTTTTACCTCCTTAATTAAATTTATTCCTAGATATTTTATTCTTTTTGGTGCTGTTGTCAATGGGATTGTTTTTCTCATATTTTTTTCAGATAGTTTGTTGTTAGTGTATTGAAAAAATTTTTATGGAGTTTTCTATCTATAAGATCATGTCATCTGCAGACGGGGACACTTTTATTACTTTCTTTCCGATTGGATACCTTTTATTTCTTTTTTTGCCTAATTGCTCTAGCTGGAACTCCCAGTACTATGTTGAATATAGAAGTGGTCATCCTTGCCTTGTTCCTGATCTTAGAGGAAAAGCTTTCAGTTTTTCTCTGTTGAGTATGATGTTAACTGTCAGCTTTCCATATGTGGCCTTTATTATGTTGAGTTAATTTTCTTCCTTTCCTAGTTTGTTAAGTGTTTTTATTATGAAAAGGTGTTGAATTTTGTTACATGCTTTCTCTGCATTTGAGATGATCATGTGAGTTTTATTCTTCATTCTGTTACTGTGGTGTATCATGTTAACTGACTTTCATATGTTAAGCTGTCTTTGCATCCCAGGGATAAATCCCACTTGGTCATGATGTATGATCCTTTTATTATGCTGATGGATTCAGTTTGCTAGTATTTTGTTGTAAATTTTGAATCTGTATTCATTAAGGATTTTAGCCTGTAGTTTTGGGGTTTTTGGCCTCATAAAACAAAATTAGAAGTGTTCTTTCATCTTCATTGTTTTGAAAGAGCTTGAGAGGGATTGGCATTAATTCTTCTTTCAATATTTGGTAGAATTCACCAGTGAATCCATCTGGTCCTGGGCGTTTCTTTGTTAGGGAGCTTTTTTATTAGTGATTCAATCTCTCATAGCAAGCCTTTGTCACATTCTTTAGTTTCACTTTTTTCTTTTCTATGTTTAGAAGAACGATTTATTAGAGTGAGAGAGATAGAGAGAGAACAGCTCCCATACTATTGTGGGAGGGGAACCCAGAGCGGGGAATCCCTCTTTTTTGTCTTTTTCTTTTTTGAAACAGAGTCTCACTTTGTAGCCTAGGCTGGAGTGCAGTGGTGCGATCTTGGCTCACTGGAACCTCCACCTCCCGGGTCCCAGTTCAAGCAATTCTCCTGCCTCAGCCTCCTGAGTAGCTGGGATTACAGGCACATGCCACCATGCCCAGCTAATTTTTAGTAGCGACAGGGTTTCACCATGTTGGCCAGGCTGGTCTCGAACTCCTGACCTTGTGTTCCGCCCGCCTCAGCCTCCTAAAGTTCTGGGATTACAGGCATGAGCTACCGCACCCAGCCCAGTTTCACTTTTTAGAATTACATTTAATTGCTAACTAATGGAAGCTCTACTTTAGAATAATTAAATATCATGTTTTTATGTTAAGTATGTCTTTAAGGCCTTGACAGTTGGTATTTCACAATAACCAGAATTGAGCTGTTATAGAAAGTGATTGTTCTGTAAGAGTCTTAATTCCAGAATTCTGAGTTCAAAGTGCTATTAAACCCTAATTGGATAGTGAAGGATTTTGGTCATTTTTTTCTACAGAACTGTGTTAGTTCTTACTATACAGTTTTGATTTGGGAAGTTCAGTTATGATAATGTTGGCAGAATTAACTTGAAGAAGATTTCCCCTAAATATTTTTTATCACTTTTCCCCTATGTATAATTGTAAGTAGGAGCTCACTGCAGCAATGGCAAAAATGTCTGAATGTTTAAAGAAGAAAATGTTACCCATAATTACAGCAGTCAGAGGCATCCACTGTGTATCTACTTGTACATTACAAAATGACAATGAAAACTGTGTATATACAGTATTATTTTCTCTGCATCTAATGTTGTATGTGGCATGACCATCTTCCCTATGTCATTAAATGTGACACCAAATACGATTTACAAGGATGTGATCTCCCAACAGATAGCTAAATTGGGTTTTATTTACCTATTTTCCTGATTCACAAGTTTTTTCCATTTTTTCCTAGTAAGTCTGAAATTTTGTACATCAGTCTTTGTTCATGTCTCTGATTATTTTCTTTCTTCTAAATATCTTAATTGACATGATCCTCAATTTTTATCGTCTTTTTGGTATAGAGATTGGAAAACACATAAATGTCATCTCCCAAAAAATAATTGCATCCCCTTCTTACACAGTAGTCAGCTTTATTTCAAAAGATATATTCATGTGCTAGAGAAGAAAAGAGCAGAATAAAAAGATATTAGAGAAGATGGAAGAGTGCTGTGAGAATATGTAATATTTTATTTGCTATACATAATTATGAAAATCTACAGTAGGTAATATAGGAGTTTAGAGGTACAGTTTTTTGAATGGTGAGTGGAAGATTATTTTTTTTCTTTATTTAAAAAAATTTTTTTCCAAGATAAGTTTAAGGAAGATTATTCTTATCAACACAAAATCCCTAACCAATTTTCTATGAGATAATTAAAACGCAGTAAAATGCCCATTTAAAACATAATCCTAACTTATACATTAGGATGAAAATACTTAAAATATTATTTCCCAGTCCTCTAGCAGTAAGTTTGATTGTTAAATAATAGTTGCTTTATTTGTCACATCTAACATGCATATCACCTTTATTGACGTGTGTATCTAAAAACATCTACATATGATTCTGACATCTTGCTAAGGTGTGTTTGGGATGTAATTCAGTGCTTTCCCTTCATGTCATTTAAAAAAAATATATTGAGCTGTTTGGTTGTAAATAAAAATTGTTCCTTTTAAACCAGCTCCTAAAATATATACTGAGAGACATATTTACTTTCCATTAAAATGGGATATCAGAAGTCTAGAGGCTGTCTCCCTGGAAAACAGCAGCTGGTGAGATACTGTGCCTGATATGCCTGTGCTTCCAAAGCCACTATTGGTCTGCAGTGTGTTCCTCTCCCACCATAAAGGCCCTCCCTCCGCACTGGGCATAACCCCCACCAGGACCTCAGGCGTCCAGAAATCAAAAGTCAGGAAGGCAAGGTTGTCTTTGGTGACAAAGTTTCACCAAGGGGCCAACTTCGTGAAATGGGGTGACAAAAAAATTACAAGGAGAAATCATTAACATCTCAAATTATCCTGCCCTCTTTATATGAGGAGGATTTAGAAGACTGGAAGAAAAGATATGACTAAAGATATTCAGTGAGGCATTGCTTTGGTTTCAGCAGTTTTGGAGAATCTGGGAAGTGCTGGTGGATTTAGTTTTTGGAATAGAAAACGAAGATTATGTTTTGTTGGAGAGGAAGGGAAGAGTGGCCAATGAATATCTAAAGTCCTGTGCTTCAGTGCCTGATGTGGCGGTTTCTGAACAATCCTAGGAATGCTGAACCTGGGTCACAGGAAAGATGTTCTCTCTTTGATGCGTTATTCTCAAGGTACTGGTAAGAGCTTTGGACTGCAGTGAAAATAGATAATTCTCACTGTCATGAATACCTAAAATCATCACATTTCTGCAGTAACCTTTTTAACAGCTTTTTTGAGCTTTATGGCATTTACATACCATAAAATTCACTGATTTAAAGTATACAATTAAGTGGTTGTTATTATGTGCAATAAATTTTAAAAGCAGGGTGCTTCAACAGAAAATAAATAATAATTTTATTTTTAAGAAAGGATAATTACAGTGGTCTTCTTTTATCTGAGAGGGAGATACATTCTAAGACCCCGAATGGATGCTTCAAACCATGGATAGTACCAAACTCCATATATATGTTTTTTCCTTTACATGCATACCTATGAAAAAGTTTATAAATTAGGCTCAGTAAGAGATTCATAACAACTAATAATAAAATAGAAAAATTATAACAATATTCAGGAAACATGCAATTTAAAACTTATGAATTGACTGGGCATGGTGGCTCATGCCTGTAATCCCAACACTTTGGGAGGCCAAGGCATGTAGATCAAAAGTAGCCCGGCGTGTGGCAGGTGCCTATAATCCCAGCTACTCAGGAGGCTGAGGCATGAGAATTGCTTGAACCCAGGAGGCAGAGGTTGCAGTGAGCTGAGATTACCCCACTGCCCTCCAGCCTTGGCAACAGAGCAAGACCCCATCTCAAAATAAATAAACAAATCTTATGAATTGTTTATTTCTGGGATTTTTCATTTAATATTTTTGGACCATGGATAACTGAAACCATGGAAAGTGAAACCATGATAAGGAAGGACTACTATGTTCAATTTTTACTGTGTGTCAAGTACTATTCTAAGCACCTTTTTTACATGAAGTTATTTAATCTTTATAACAATCCCATAAGATAGGATTATTCTCATTTTACAGATGAAGTAACTAAAGAAGAGAAGTTAAGTAACTTGCTTGGGGTCACACTGCCAGTAAGTGGCAGAGCTGAGGTTCAAACTTGGGCAGTCTGGCCTGTCCTTCAACTACTAGGTTATACGACCTACAATAAGTAGTTTATTGATGGATAATGGTGATGCTGCTGAACTAGCTGAACTGAAAATTTTTATAAATAGTTTCGCCTTTATTCCAAGGGCCAGATTTTCATCCTGACATAAAGTATTGAAAGATAAATTTACTCTGAAATTTAAACTGTAGGTTCCCTAAAATCATATTTTAAAACATGGCTTAAAAAAATCTGTTTTATATTTAAGTCAAAAATCCTATCCTGTGATTCTTTAAAATGTTTGTATCTCTATCATGCTTTCATTTTTAACTTGTTTTTTAAAAAGTTACTTTTTCCTTTTACTGTTCCTCCATCTTAAGTCTTAGTGATATAATTGAAACTAAGACTGTTGCATGATTTTAATGTATTTCAGACTTTCATTCACTAGCTTCCGCTTTAGAGTCTGACATGTGCCACTAAGGGTCTTCATTAACTCGTCTCCCTTTTTTGTCTTCCCTGTATATTCCTAAAAGCTGAATTATTTTCTTTTTATTGTTTGTTTTCTTTTTTTCAGCAATGCGGCCACTTAGCATGTCTTACAGTTTTGACTTGTCAGGTAAAAAAAAACAAAAACGCTTTCACACCTGACGTGGGTTTTGTGGTTTCTGTGAAATACATTTCATTCATCTGCTTGTTCAAACATGTTAAAAAAGAAAATGGAAAGGCTTCCTCTAAGCTCTGGTCAGTAAAGTAAAACCATTCTGCTTATTTGAAAACAATATACGTTAAAAAGATATAAGACTACAATAAACCTATTTTCTTCAAGGAATGATGGAAGAACCATCAAACCACACTCATGGTTCTAGAAGATGGTGCCCATCTTATGGCAGCTGTCACTCCCCAGGCTCTTCTAGAGCAATGAGGTTAAAGCCCACAGCAGAACCTTTGCCCTAAGAGAATAGAAAAAGCTTTATAGGAACGAAATTCTGACAAACCTACTTCCTGTTCTCTAAAGCATTCAGTTATGTAAGTAACTGAACTTAAAATGGTTATCTACTTCAAATGACTACGGCACCTCAGTTGATGGGCAAGAGCAGTCTTTTGTATCTTTGTGTTCAGTGGATAGAGCCTAGTCATGAATGACTTTGAATGCTGATTAAGATTATAAAAATACAAGAGCATTGTAATAGCTTTGGTTGTAATATATAATTATGTGCCTCAGGTTTGTAGTACAAGTTTAGACCCTTCTGTTAAACAGACAGCAATCAATAGTGAAATGACTAAATTTGATCTATAAAATTAATCCCCCCCCCCTTTTTTTTTTCTTTTTTCTTTTTTTTGAGACAGAGTCTCGCTCTGTCAACCAGGCTGGAGAGCAGTGGCGCCATCTCAGCTCACTGCAACCTCTGCCTCCCAAGTTCAAGCAATTCTCCTGCCTCAGCCTCCCAAATAGCTGGGACTACAGGCATGTGCCCCCACGCCCCACTAATTTTTGTATTTTTTAGTAGAGACAGGGTTTCACCAAGTTGACCAGGATGGTCTTGATCTCTTGACCTTGTGATCCACCCACCTCGGCCTCCCAAAGTTCTGGGATTACAAGCATGAGCCACTTCGCCCGGCCAAATTAACCCTCTTTTAAAGTCAAAACTTTAAATATATATGAGTGAATTTTCTTTATTTATTTTAGAAAATAAAGACCGTTTCACCATGTTGCCCAAGCTGATCTTGAACTCATGGGCTTAAGCAATCCACCAATCTTGGCCACCCAAAGTGCTAGGAATACACACCACCTCACCCAGCCAGGTGAATTTTCAAAGCCAGCTTAATCCCAATAAAATATTTTGTAATTTAGAGTTTTTAATTTTAGAAGCTACTGTTTTAAATATAAAATGAGATGAGATGTTGGCACAAGCGTTTTCTTTTAAATGCCATGGAGTGCCTCTTAAGATGCAAAGAATTGTTGGCATACCTTACATACAAATTCATATTTAAAGAGTTCTGTTATACTCTGTATATGAATGTTTGCTGAGTATCTTCAGCTACAAAACTAGTGTCCAGCTGTTTTTAAATCTTCTGCTTATTTGTGTAGGTCTCAGACATGACTACAGTATTTTACAATCATTTACTTACTATTTTGACTGACCACTAGAGAGCTTTTTCTATTTTCTTTATTCATTTGGCAATTTTAATTTTTTCAGCCATTTTCAAAGTGACCTTGTAAAAAATTTGGTCTGGAAAATAAATTCAGAAGTGTATGTCACTACTAAAGTTGGCAGTATACATTATAAATACTCTATCTCTTTTGAATATCTACAAAAGATGCCCTCATTAGTTGGACTGTAATAAGGAAGGGAGTGGTTAGCTGCCTACACACATTGACCATTGGCTAATCTAAATTCGGCACACACTGCTGATCTTGACAGTATGCATGGTCACACACCTCATATATGGGTGTGCTGTGTGTTCTTGCAGTCTACAGAATCAGAAGAAAGCTCTTGGTACTTAAATTCCTTGATGTAAAATGGTAGCAGAGAATTTTTATCTGGTTTCATTGCTTATTGTTTGCTATAATTTATTTCATGTCTTCATGTACTTTGTGACTTCCTAATGCTTCATTCTTGATTTCTTGTGCTGCTTTTATGTTTTTCATTGTTGCATTTTAATTTTTAATTAAAATTTCCCAAATTATAAATAAAAAGATTGATTTGTTCTCCTAACTTAAATTCAAAAATTGGAGTGCATTTTCTGACTTGGAAAATGAACAAACTAGTGAAACATTGTAAACATATAGTGTAGATAATAAGTCTGAACTTAAGTGTAGAACATGACATAATGAAGTATATTCTGCTGTTTATATTTTAGAAAATATTTCTAAAGTATATTTTAGAAATATAATTCTTAGTGAAAATCTTAATCTATTCAGCATCATTTATGGTAAGTATAACTTATTTTTCCTATACAGATACTAAGTATATAATGTATATTGCAGTCACATTTCCTTCCACTAAATAAGGCAGCAGACACATATATTTAATATCATGGGTATGCATTTTAGGTTCTAAGCCTAAGTTATGTGACTTCTAAAGCTTTATCTAAATATTTCACCTCTTAAAATATTTTGCTTACATATAAATATCACCAGATTTTTTAAGAAATGCCATCTTATGTACAAGAAATACAAAGCCTATCCAAGTGTTTTGCTTTTCTCTTTTGATACATTGAAATAAAAATGATAACTTACTCATTTAAACAGAAAACTATAAGTAATCAAACTTCTTAAAAATATGTTTGTTGGGCCAGGCGCGGTGGCTCACGCCTGTAATCCCAGCACTTTGGGAGGCCGAGGCGGGTGAATCACGAGGTCAAGAGATCGAGACCATCCTGGTCAACATGGTGAAACCCCGTCTCTACTAAAAATACAAAAAATCAGCTGGGCATGGTGGCGTGTGCCTGTAATCCCAGCTACTCAGGAGGCTGAGGCAGGAGAATTGCCTGAACCCAGGAGGCGGAGGTTGCGGTGAGCCGAGACCGCGCCATTGCACTCCAGCCTGGGGAAAAAAAAGGAAACCCCCTCTCAAAAAAAAAAAAAAAAAAAAAAAAATATGTTTGTTGGATGTAGTGGCTCACGCCTGTAATCCCAGCACTTTGGAAGGCTCAGGTGGGTGGTTTGCTTAAGCCCAGTAATTTCAAATAGGACCAGCTTGGGCAACATGGCAAAACCTTGTCTACACACACACACACACACACTCTCACTCACTCTCTCTCTCTCTCTCTCTAAAAAATTAGCTGGGCATGGTGGCACATGCCTGTAGTCCCAGCTACTTGAGAGGCTGAGGTGGGAGTGTTGCCTGAGCCTGAGAGGTCAAGGCTGCAGTGAGCCATGATTGCACCACTGCACTCCAAACTGGGCAACAGAATGAGAACCTGTCTCCAAAAAAAAAAAAAAAAAAAAAAAGGTTCAATTAAGTCTTTTACAGCTCTGTGGTGTGAAATCAGTCAGTGTTTAGATCATCTTGAAACTTGGCTGTTTCTTAGCCCATTTTTTATTTATTCAGTTTTTCTCAAAGCTTTGAATTTAGTACAGATGTTTTCTTTCAGTAGTGTCAGTCAATTAGCTAAAATAACCGTTATCAATCTCATAGCACAGGGTTCAGGAAATTAGAGAGCTACTGGACAATTTCTGAAATCCCCTGCATTGAGAATGAAGTGAACTCAGGGCAGCCACTGTCATTTGACAGCATTCCCTAAACTTCAGATCATATGCCATCTTTATGATTTTTTGCCAGCATTAAGTGCCACCAATACTATTAAAAAATTTTAATCTGCCATAAACAACTTTAAACATTTCTTAAGCAGTAAAACCATGGATCTTAAAATACAGTGTTTTCTTCTGCAGCAAAAAAATAGTTTTTTTTTTTTCTGCAGCATATTAAAATAAATATGTAGCCACTAAAACTATTTGAGTGTTCCTCATGCAGTGGTATGGATACAGTGCCACTGCTAGGGAAACTCTGGCTTTGTCGATTGGAATTGTGGGACCATTGTGGGAAGCTGGTTGTGTTTCCCTTATTATGATAACTCCAATTATAGTAATTAGAAAGTGATCTGCTGCCAGGTCAACAGTGGGAGCCTCTGTGAGAATGTGGCTAGGAGAGGGGAAGGTGTGTGCATTTGACATACTTGTGCTTTGTCTTAGAAAATTCCTACAAAATGTTAACAATTCTGTTTCCCATCATATCTCCTTTTAGAAGATTCCTACACATGTCAACAATTCCGTTTCTCATTCTGTCTCCTTTTTGAAAGATTTATTTATTTAAAGATTTTTACCTTTATAATTTGTATAAAACCTTGCTGCTTTTTGTCTTTTGTCCCTTTCAGCACTCCCCACCACCATCACCAATTATTTATTTATTCTAGCTATTTAATGCCTGGGAAGATAATAATAAAATAAATGCATGAATTGTCAAGTTCTCAATTAACAATTTTACATAAAAAGATAATTAATGGACAGCGGTTTTTCCTTCTTTCCTTTCCTCCTCCCTTCTCTTTCCCTTTTTTCTTTTCCTTCCATTATTTCTAGCTTGTTCATACCCTTCAAAAATGAGCAGAAATTATAAATATTAAATAAGATAGATATCATTTGTAATAAGAAACAATTTACGTGGTTCTTACAAATAACGTCAGAAAAAGCTGCACTAGGACACACGTACATATCAAATGTTTCCTGGAGCTCTACCCCTCATACTTAAGGTGTGTAAATATCACTTGTTGAGGGGGAAAATATCCTACTGTAAACAAACATTCTTGGGGTTTTTTTGTTGTTGTTCTTTTTTTTTGAGACAGTCTCACTTTGATTCTCCTGCCTCAGCCTCCCGAGTAACTGGGATTACAGGCATCCACCACCATGCCTAGTAATTCTTATATTTGTAGTGGAGATGGGGTTTCACCATGTTGGTCAGGCTGGTCTCCAACTCCTGATCTCAAGTGATACTCCTCCCTGGGCCTCCCAAAGTGCTGGGATTATAGGCATGAGCCACCATGCTGGGCCACATTCTCGTGTTTTATAGTAACCTCAGTTACATTGCTTTCCCCTCTAAAAGGGCATCACTTACTCTTTTTCACTTTAGTACTTCGCATGCCCTTTGCCCCACCGACGGCAGCCTCACAGACTGTCCTCATGCAAAGAGCAGTCAAATGTACTGGTATTTAAATTACAGCATGCAGTAACTGCTCTTTTTCACTTCTAAATACTCCGATTTTATAGTTACTAAATTCAGCTCATTTTTAACTCTTCATTTGAAATACGTGTTCCACTTGCTTTGGAGGATTCCAGGCTTTGGTACTTACAAGCAGGCCTTCAGAGTCAGTACTGACAAAGACTTACGGATCAGCTGTGGCACAACACCACGGTGTGTCACTCTGGCCAAATCCATCTGAGATCAAAATCAGATGAATAATTGCTAATGTTTATTGTTCACTGCCTGTACTGGGCACAGAATTTTATATGCAATTAATAACCTGTTTAATGCTCACAAGTCCGCATCTGTTATTATTCTTATTTTACAGATGAAGAGAGATTATGTGGCTTACTCTGAGTTAAACAACTAGCAATAGAGATCCAAACCGTCTGCATCACACCACACTATACACTGCCTCATTGCCTGTCATTTGTTGTATTGCCTTTCCATCCATATTTAAGCTCTTAATAATTTAAATCAGATTCATCAGAGGAAATATATCCCAGATTCTTTGCATTCACATTAAATTGTTTATATGAATATAGATTATTAGTTATTTTTATTTTTAAATCAAAACTTTTTCTTACAGCCGTGTGTCTGGTAAGGCTTTGTGTGTGTCCTGTCTTCATCCATATATCACTAGATCATCAGAGGCTGTGAAGTAAACTAGCTTCTCTCAGCCTCAGTTTCTTCATCTGAAAATAAAGAAGTTAGAGTCAGTTATCTGTAGGATTCCTTTTAACTCTAAATTCTAATCTACAAGTATGAATATGTAATTATTCATTTAAGCTTCCTTTAATTGAATCTGATAGTTATATCCAACCAGAAAAAGCTTCCTATACATAGGCAAGGTGTTACTGAATCAAGCCTCTGTTTTTGTGTGAAATGCTTTGTTACCTGGTATGCCTCCAACACAGATAACCTTTCTTGGCTCAAGAAAAGGTAAGCTTTTGCTTTTTTACCAGATGTAACTACCCCTGAAACTACGAAGAATCTTGTGGAGCCATCTGTGGTGAATGGAGGTTTGACAGCACAAACAAAAGAAAACGGGTTAAGTACCGATCAACAGGTGCCTGCACAGCGGAAGAAGCTCCTCAAAGCCCCAACTCTGGCCGAACTGGACAGCTCTGAGTCTGAGGTGAGGCCCTGGTTCACACAGCTTGACTCCACGATGAGGGTGCTTAATGCTCTCTGACCCGCTTTACTGATTATCTTGCTTCAGTCTTTGCTTCATCTCTTCCCATTTTTCAGCCAATAAAGCTAGGATTAAAATTAATTTGGTTTGCAGGAAATTAAACAGCAGATTACTTTCTATTAGTAAAGACCAATATAGTGGCTATAGTTTATAGAACACTAAAATTTTTGTTGGACCTGCTGGCTCACATCTATAACCCCAGCACTTTGGTAGTCCAAGGCAGGAGTATTGCTGAACCCAGGAGTTTGAGACCAGCCTGGGCAACATAGCAAGACAGGTACAGTAGCACATACCTCTGGTCTGAGCTACTTGGGAGGCTGAGACAGGAGGATCCCTTGAGCCCAGGAGTTCAAGTCTGCAGTGAGCTGTGATTGCACCAGTGCAGTCCAGTCTGGGCAATGGAGTAAGACTGTGTCTCAAATAAATAAAGTCTTAAATTTTAATTGGGCTTAAAACAAGTCAACAATTTTCCAACTTATATTACCTTAATCTCTTCCTGTTTATTTGAGGAAGGAAAAAGTAAAAACATTTTGCATAGATCCTCCTTCCTCTAAAATGCACACACACATATACACACTCAGGATTATTCTTCTTGCAATAGTAATACCAACAGACGAAATTCCAAAAAAGAAAATTCGAATAGTATTCTCCAGGTTTCATCCTCCACCTACCGCCCTTTGCGGAGGGGGAAAGATCTCATATCCTTCCTGATGTCAACATCCACCTGTATGCTAATGATTTCCATACCATCTCAGGCCCCCGTCTGCAGTGTCAGTATTATATTCGTCATTGCTTGTGGGTCTCCACTGCCCCTTCCTCAAAATCAACTTAGGTAAAATGAAATTCTCTTCTTCCCCGCCTTCACCCTCACCCACTTGCCAAACCAAAAACACACACACCCTAGCTACATACACATGCATGCGACACACACACACATCCTAACTACACATACACACCCTAACTACACACATGTACACATGCAGGTACACACACATACCCCTAGCTTCTCATCTTCTGCTTGCTCTCCTAGTTGCTGGCTCCATACCACCCATGTTCATCCAAGGTAGAATCTGAGGAATTATTCCTTAATTTTCCTCTCATCCATCTCCATCCCATTCCAAACAATACCAATAATAATTTTGCTACTAAAGGTTTTTCAGACATTAGTAACAAGAAGAAATATTTGTATTACTAAAGTCAGTTAGTCTCTCTCTCTCTCTTGCTGTCGCTTCAGTCTATCTGACTTTTCTTCTTGACTCCCCAAATTCTATCTTGCATTCACTGCTCTTTGAAACTCCCACTTGAAACCTTCAGAAGGCTCCCTGGCACTTACAGAATAAAATTCACATCCCCTGATCACACGCCTGCAGACACCTCTGGTCTGATGTTATGCCTTCTCAGCGTCTGGTTTATGCCTCAGCCACGCACAGTCGTTCACTTTTCCTGCACAGTTTATCGGTGCTCAGCTTGGTGCTTAGACCTGTCTGCGGTCTGCCCCTCACATCCTTGTCAGAGTCAGCATGGCCTCGCTTTGTCTTAGGAAGTCTCCCAGACACCACTAGCCTGCCAGGACCCCTTCTCCTCGATTCTATCATAACCCACTCATCCCTCTGTTTCACTGGAACACTTAACATTCTGTCATGTAATTATTCACTTATTTCTCTCTCCTACCAGAGTACATGCTCCCTGAGAGGAGGAACCATGCTGAATTTACTTTATATCTCCAGTTTCTAACACCCAGTAGACACTCAAGTATTTAGATAAATTCATATTAACCTATAAGAACAGTGATTTACATTTTAAAAGCCTCTAGCTCAGATATCATCTAGACAGAGCCTAATTCGGGAGCCACTTTCACTTGTGGCTATTTAAATTTAAGTTATGTTAAAATTAAATAAATGAAGAACTCTGTTTCTCAGTTATGGCACTCAGGGTCCCAGGAGCTTCTGTGACTAGTGGCTACACAGATCACAGTCCCTTCACAGAGAGTTCGGTTGGGGGGCACCAATTTGCAGCTGCCAGGAGCTCACCTTCTTACACCCCACCCCCACAGACCTACTTTTAAGTCCTTTCCTTTTCTAGTCCTCTTTTATTACCTCATGAGGCAAGACTACACAGCAAGCCATGATCGAATAAATTTGCAGACTCTGTAACCTTCCTTGTGGTACTCTTTTTGAAAATGAAGTGATAATGCCCCAAATTCAAGTCTTGAGATGATTTGCTAGGCACATTATTCTTATTGTTAACCAAAGAGAGGCCATTAAATGTATTGAAATGTTAACATTTAGAAAACGCAGATAAACTGAAGACTTTCTTTTTTCTTTTTTTTTTTTTTTTTTTGAGACACAGTCTCACTCTGTCGCCTAGGCTGGAATGCAGTGGCACTATGTCGGCTCACTGCAACCTCCACCTCCCGGTTCAAGTGATTCTCTTGCCTCAGCCTCCCGAGTAGCTGGGATTACAGGTGCCTGCCACTACGCCCGGCTAATTTTTGTATTTTTAGTAGAGGCGGGGTTTCACCATGTTGGTCAGTCTGGTCTTGATCTGACCTCAAGAGATCTGCCTGCCTTAGCATTCCCAAGTGTAGGAATTACAGGCATGAGCCACCATGCCCAGCTGAAGTCTTTCTTTTTAGTCAACTGTGTCAAGTTTGGGATTTGTATGAAAGTTTTAATAAACTTACTATTGGTAAGACAGTAGTTCTTTTTAATAGTGGTAGGTAAATTGTGTTTAGTCTAAACACTCTATTAACATTAGCTAACTTCAGATTATCAGCTAGTTAAAGACAACTCAGAAGAAGGTCTGTTGTAAAGCCAGTTAATGAACTGACATTTATATAGACATAAATGAACACCTGGAAACTCAAATTGGGTTTCCTTGCAGTATGAATTAGTAAAGACAGTTCTCCATGTGGCACTGCATAGGGTATGTGGACTGGGTGCTGGAATGGACACTTCATTGTCAGCTATCAGCATATTTTCCTTCTGATGAGGGGAGCTGATTCTGTGATCTCCAGGTCTCTTCCAGTTCCAAAACATGACAGTTTTGCCCAGAAGCATGAAATTGGAAAAGATGTCAAGGAATTCTGTCTATTCCTAAACTAAGATTGACTTACCTCTGGTCATATTTACTGTCTTACAAATGGCCACAAATTCAAAGACTGTTAAATACATCCCATATCATATTACATGGGCGCTCTTCGTTCACATTTTTTAGCAATTTTTTGTTCCCCACTTTTTAGTGCATTTTAAAACTCTTCTCCTATTCTTTTCACCAACTTTTTTTTTCCAATACCACTCCATTTTTTCCAGCCAAATATTTATTGAAAGCCTTCAGTAACTACTAAAGGTAGAGGCAGAAATATGATGGTCATCGCTTTCCTATTGTTTATAATTTAAATAGAATATAAAAAGTATATCTATACCTAAGAATCATTCTAAGTGTTTACTGAGCACTGTGTCTTCCAGACACTGTCTTACGCTATGTAGAGTGTGACTGGATGCTATAGAAGTCCAGAGACTGCGGAGGTCAATTCAGTCAGTGAGTAAACACCACAGGGGCTGGAAAGACTGGAGAAGCCATGTGGAAGAGTAGTAGGACTTAGGTTTTAGAATGAGTATAAAAGACAGCAGAGGGCTTTCCATTTTGTTGCGGGATGTGAGCCGGGCTGTGCCACAGCATGTTGATGTATTTCTCTTGTGCCTTTTTTTTTTTTTTTTTTAATGTCAGAGAGAGAGATTTTTTAGAAGGAATTGGCTTATGTGACGACTCTTGTGCCTTCTTGAGAGCAGAGGTGCAGTCTTACTCAAACCTCTGCTCCTAAGTGCACTTCTGGCATCTGGTGACTCTGCTGACTTATCTAGTGAATTCCTGGCTGGCGTTGCACCATGAGCAAAGATCAAGTCAAGACTCAGGGCTGTAGAAGACAGCAGAGAACAAATAAAGGACAGTCTCAAAAAAGGCTGACTTCATTCTTTAGCTTCCTGCCTCTCAGTTGTATCACCTACTTGCCCATTTTCCCTCTCCTCCTCAAGTTTAATGATTGGCTTCCAAACATGGTTTTTTGGGGTTTTTCTTGAGACAGAGCCTCACTCCATAGCCAAGACTGGAATGCAGTGGCGCAACCTTACTCAGCTTACTACATACTCCACCTCCTGAGTTCAAGCAATTCTCCTGCTTCAGCCTCCTGAGTAGCTGGGATTACAGGTGCCCGCCATCACGCCTGGCTAATCCTTGTATTTTTAGTAGAGACAGGGTTTCACCATGTTGGCCAGGCTTGTCTTGAACTTCTGACCTCAGGTGAGTTGCCCACCTTGGCCTCCCAGTGCTGGGATTACAAGCGTGGGCCACCGCACCTGCTCCAAACATGTTTTTAAGTGCCAAAACTTTTTCTTCACACCAGACTTACACAGAAGTACAGTGTCAATCAGCTAGAAATGGAGGTGGGGACTAGAGCCTTCCCCACCTACAACCCCCCATCCTTCAAGGCCTCTTTAAGGCCTCAAAGAACAATGTGAAATTTCTTTTCCATTCCAAGAGGGAGTGGCCCACTGCTGAGTCAGCACTCAGCTGCTGACACTGAACTCACCAGTGGAGTCCACCTGTCTCTACTGCCCTTTGCATGAGCCTCTTTTTTTTTTTTTTTTTTTTTGGTGATGGAATCTCGCTCTATCGCCAGGCCTGAGTGCAGTGGCAAGATCTTGGCTCACGGCAACTTCCACCTCCCAGGTTCAAGCAATTGTCCTGCGTTCACCTCCTGAGTCACTGGGATTACATGTGCCCGCCACCACACCCAGCTAACTTTAGTATTTTTAGTAGAGACAGGGTTTCACCGTGTTAGCCAGGATGGGCTCGATCTCTTGACCTTGTGATCCACCCGCCTTGGCCTCCCCAAGTGCTGGGATTACAGGCATGAGCCACCACACCTGGCCTCCATGGGCCTC